AAAATTCCCCCAAAAATTCCAAAAAATTCCCCCAAAAAATCCCAAAAATTCCCCCAAAAAATCCCCAAAATTCCCCAAAAAATCCCAAAAATTTCCCCAAAAATTCTCCAAAAAAACCCAAAAATTGCCCCCTAAAAATCCAAAAAAAATTCCAAAAAAATTCCTTAAAATTCCCTAAAAAAATCCCCAAAAATATTTTGAAAATTCCCCCAAAAATTCCAAAAAAATCCCAAAAGATTCCCAAAAATTCCCCCCAAAAATTCCCAAAATTTTCCCCAATCCCCAAATCCCAAACTCGTCCGAGGCCGACATCGCACTCAGGGTCTGCAGCCTGAGGGATTCATAAAAAAAAAATAAATTAAATGAAATTATAAATTAATAAAATTAATAGGGATGTTGTCTGAAATCCCAAAAAAATCCCGAAAAAATTCCCAAAAAATTCGAGGAAAAAATCCCAAAAAATGCCCCCAAAATCCCTAAAAAATCTCAAAAAAATTCCCCCAAAATCACCAAAAAATTCCCAAAAACTTCCCCAAAAAATCCCAAAAAGTCACCCCCAAAAATAAAAAAAATTCCCCAAAATATCCTTTAAAAATCCCCAAATATCCCTAAAAACATCCCCCAAAATTCCCCAAAAAATAAAAAAAATCCTTTAAAAATTGCAAAAAATTCCCCAAAAAATCCTCAAAAAAATCCCTAAAAATTCCAAAAAAATCCTGAAAAAATCCCCCAAAATTCCCGAAAAATTCTCAAATAATCCCCCATAAAATCCCCAAAAAATCCCCCAAAAATCCGCAATAATCCCCCAAAAAATCCCCAAAAAATCCCCCAAAAATCCGCAATAATCCCCCAAAAAATCCCCCAAAAATCCTAAAAATTCCCCGGAAAAAAATCTCAAAAGTTTCAAAAAAATTCCCCAAAGTTCCCTAAAAAATCCTGAAAATATTCCCAAAAAATTCCCCCAAAATCCCCAAAAATTCCCCCCAAATTCTCTAAAAAAATAAAAAAAATCCTCTAAAAAATTGCAAAAAATTCCCCAAAAAATCCTAAAAAAAATCCCTAAAAATTAAAAAAAAATTCCTGAAAAATTCCCAAAAAATTCCTGAAAAATTCTCAAATAATCCCCAAAAAAATCCCCGAAAAATCCCCTAAAAAATCCCCCAAAAATCCCCAGAAAATCCAAAAAAATCCCCCAAAAAATCCCCAAAAATCCCCAAAAAATAAAAAAAAAAATCCCCAAAAAATCCCCAAAAAATCCCAAAAAATCCCCAAAAAATCCAAAAAAATTCCCAAAAAATCCCCAAAAAATCCCTAAAAAATCCCCAAAAAATCCCCAAAAAATCCCCAAAAAATCAAAAAAAATCCCCAAAAAAATCCCCAAAAAAATCCCCAAAAAATCCCCAAAAAATCCCAAAAAATTCCTTAAAAATCCCCAAAAAATCCTCAAATTTCCCCCAAAATCCCCAAATTT